AAAAAAATGCTTTATCTGTTAAATAGATTTGATATTTGCTCGTTCATTTTAATTAAGTTCATCTCAACTATAAAATATAAATATTATACAAACTAATACAATAAAGTAATGCTCCAACACATATACACTATTTAAAGTTGAAGTCAAGTTGATTGTATCTTCCACAAAGTTCTACTCCATTCTATGACAAATACTTCTAGAATCTTATCTTCTAGATTTTTGAAAAGTACAGTATATTACTGTCACATTTTGCTATTTCTTATTATTTTCTTTAATGTTAGATGGTAGTTTCTGAATTGTTTTATAACATTATATTATTGTATTATATATTTTATAACATTATATTATATAATTGTATTATAACATTACATATATCGAACTGAAGTCATTGTATTAGTAATATAATGAACTGAAGCCATTGTATTACTTCAAGTTTTTTTCAAGCTAAGTTTTACATGTTTAAGAAAAAAAATATGTGTAAACACCTACAGATGATTATGTAGGAAATTTACATTTTTACTGCAATTCTCAGACCTTGTCCATCTCCTCTCTACTATATAACACAGTAGGAATTTGGGATTTCTATGGTGACAGAGAAATACTTCTTTAAAGCCTCCAGCATATATTTAAGAGTTAGTATTGACCATTTTGTATGTGTTCTTTATGAAAATCAACCCGTGTGTGTGTGTGTGTGTGTGTGTGTGTGTGTGTGTGTGTGTGTGTGATATGGAGGAAGAGGATGGTCATTGCATAATGAAATCCAAATACTTTGGAAATGACTAAACATTTTCTTGAATATGCCAGGGTCATCTGATTATTGTCCCAGTTTGTTTTATATTAGTATAATAAAGACTATGACAAAAAGCAACTACGGGAATAAAAGGTTTATTTTTATTTTTTTCCCATTCCCAAACACAGTCCAAGGAATGGCAGGAACTCAAGGCAGGGACCTGGAGAAAGGAACTGATAGAGAAGCCATGGAGGAACATGGCTCACTCTGTTGCTTAGCCTGCTTTTTGTATACCCCTGTACCCACTACCCAGAGGGCCTCCACCCACAGGGGCTGGGATCTCCTACATTTATCATCAACCAAGAAAATGCCCCTTTCATCTGACCCTAGCTTCTCAGGTACCTTTAGGACTGGCTGCATATTAGTGGACTTGGAAAGGGGCAGGGAAGAGATGAGGGAGGGAGGATAGGATTGGGAGGGAACAAGGAAGTGTGCTACAGCTGGGATACAAAGTTAATAAACTATAACTAATATTTAAAAAAGAAAAAGAAAAACCAAAAAGAAAAAAGAAAAAAGAAAATGCCCCACAGACCAATTTAATGGAGACCATTTCTCAACTGATGTTTTCTCTTCCCAGATGACTCCAGAAGATACCAAGATGACAAAGTATAACCAGCACATTTACAAAATTGCTAGGGGGAAAAAAAAAGTTTGCCAAGTGACTTGATCATGTGACCTTTTAAATTCAGGACTGAGTGTAGAACAGAGAGCTCCATTCAAGGACCAAACTGTAGGAGATGGAACTGTGTGCACCTAGAGTTGATTATATCTCCCACAAAATCATCAAAGCATTTAAAGCACAAAAACAGAAAAATGAAAGAAACTAACTTATTCACAAATACATCAAATCACGTATTACATTTTCTTTTCTATGACACTGTCTTATATCCCATGCTAGCCTTGAATTTGTGTTGTCCTTGATTTTCTGATTCTGTTTCCACCCCATGAGTGCTGGGGTTACAGATGGCCACTACTGTACCTGGGAGTATGTGATGCTGGAGGCTAAACTTAGGTCTGCCTCCATGCTAGGCAAGCTGTCAAACAACTGAGCTATACACCTAGCTCGACTGAATCCATTTCTAAAAGGAAGTGGGAGAATATGAAGATACCCACATAGCAGAATGATTAAGAGGAAGTATAAAGACAAATATGTCTGAAAATGGCCCGATGAAATCCACTCATTGGTATGCTATACTGAATGGATTAGTGAAACAATTTTATTTTCATAATTATTAAGCTGGTAATAATTATGAAAGGTGATGATAACCAAAATCTCTATAAGCCTCCCGATATTTCAATGATTTTTTCATCAACTGACTATTAATACTTTTACCCATGTACCATTTTATTGATTAAGAAGTAGAAAGTGAGAGAGTTTAAGTGGCTTCCATTATGTAACACAGATTTAAGCTTTGGTGTTTTCCCTCCAGTTATAAAATACCAGACCAGATGTCTTTTTTCTAATAGCTACTTTCTAGTTTCTAAATTCTCCCTCAGAAGTAAGTGTATTTCACAGCTTCTAGCCACTGCAAGACTTTGGGAAAAAAAAATATCTCAAGGGAAAATATATAATTTTGTATATTTGCTTTCAACTCTCTTTGGAGAAATGTGAAATGACTAATTTTGTGCTTGTAAACTACTTTGCAATGTCTATTTTGTGACATAGGAGATGGTGCTTTATATTCAATATTTTTATAGTTTACTAGGGGATACATGGTGTTCTAATTGTCCATATGAGAACATAGGGAAACTGAGAGATGGTGTGGTTTTCAGGAAATGGAATTATGGAATTGAGTACAGAGTACATTGCCTGTCTTGCTGACTTTGCAAGTCTGTTCTTATTGGAAGGTGTACCTTTTAGATTGTGTTTCCTCATCACTTATTTCTTGGTCTTCTTTTATCTTAATGTTTTCATATTTTTGTTGTTATTTTTGTTATATTTTTGTTTGTTGTTGTTTTGGAAATAACAACTTATTGGGTGTTGTAAGACTTTACTTTTATAATTTTTAGATTTTTTTTTCTTCCTTTAATGCTTATGGGGTGTTTGTCAGGATGTGTGTCTCTGCAACATGTGTGTTCCTGGTACCTAAGGATGCTAAAAAATCCTCTGGAACTGGAGTTTCAGATGACTGTTAGCTGCTATATGGTATGGGTACTAGGAGTTGAACCTAGATCCTCTGCGGGGGGGGGGGGGAACAATAAATAATAAGTACTCTTAAATGTTGAGCCATCCCTCAGTTCTTATGTAACTTTAATTGGAAATGAAAACAAACATCTAAACATCTACTTAACCCAGATAGAGGACTAATAACAGACTAAAGAAAGTATGCCCCCCAAAATCTAGACTACTACACTATTTAAAGCCTACCTCACATGAGTGACACCTAAGAAAAGCCATAGCTCCTTGAAGTTAGAGTCACTTCTTTCCAGAATTCTTCCTCCTTTTATAACTCAGAGGAAAAATTTTATGGACATATTAAGTTTCAGGAACTTCCTGCGACTTAGATGTTTCTTCACTTCCTGGGCCTTGTAAGATTCATTTACTTTCTGAGTCTGAAAAAGCTTTTCCCCAGGATAGAATGTTTCATATCAGAAGAAGGAGTTCCATGACCTTCAAAAGAACTTGTTTACTTATGCTCAGTATCCTCTCAACATCAGCATGAGGTTACCTCTAATTACATGCCCACACACACAGAGTGATTAGCTTTTCTCATAGAAACGTAATTATAGCTCTCCAAAATAATGCATGGGAAAGTGCTGTAATTCTGGGATAAATGGAGAGCAATTTACATGACCCTTCCTTTGTATGTCCACAATGGATTATTAAGGCAAAACATGTTTCTTGTTACATATTCAATGGTTGAGGTCAATTATGGTTGGGATTCACTGAAGGATTAAACAGCAAAGATGCTTTCTACAGTAATTAGTGTTCTCTTTATAAAGCTCTAGTGGCCTTGCCATTTACCAAGGACCATTCATGCATTTAAATTTTAACCAGGATCATGTGAAAGAATAGCACAGAGTAACTCAGCCAACTATTTCTATAACCAGCAGCTCCCTGTGTGTCTTGTTTTTTTTTTTTTTTCTCACCTTCCCCTAACAAAGTGATTTTTTAAAGATAGAAGTAATCTTGAATAATCAAGACCAGAAGCTAGTACACCTTATTTACGTTTCAGCCACACCTGTGGTTCACATTTCACAAAGAGGAAAGGTGATTGCCTGGAGTTAAAGAAGTCTGATGTCCTTGGAGCATGACGGTTCACTGTAGCCTATTAGAAAAATTCACTGTCGTTTGGGGTTCTTTGAATTTGAAAACATAGGTTCATATGTTCGGTAACAAAATGTTCATCTAATCCTTATGAAAACTAAGAGCTGTCAAAGGAATATCCCAAATAGGACTGCTCCATACATTTGCCTCACTGCAGTCTGGAATAAGTATTTGCAAACATGTTTCCCTGACCACTATTCCACACTCACTTTCTTATGGGTATGTCTTTTTCAACTCTATTTTGAAGAACACATTTTATGTATAAAACAATTAAAACATCAGTGTGTTTTTGGTGAGTAGTAACTGAAATATTTAATTACCAGCTTATTAAAATTTTGAAGCAGTATTCTAATTTCTAAGAAAGAAGAGAAAAAGATTTCAGTTGAGAGTGGGAGAAGGGGGGAAAGGAATGGCATGAATCTTGGTGATTACTCAGTCTCTAATTAGGGTTAAAAGTTTGGATTCATTGCTTTGTTTTTCTGTGTTCAAGCTTCATGAAACAGATGAAATTCAACAAACACCACAGAGTATTACACAAACCTGTAAAACAATCCTCTATAGTGGCCATTATTATGTAACAAAAGTGATCTAAATAGTATCCAGGGTAGCATCTCTCATTACTATGTCAAGATTACACACATATTGGGTATTTAACATTTGCATTCCTTTAGAGCTTGCTAGAAAATGCTTTACACATGCTTATTTTGCTTGTAAAGGCTAGGCCTCTCTGAGTCAACTTCTAGGGTTTCTCTTTGTCTTCTTGAAATAAAACATTATTGACTGACAGTAGGAAGCGTTTAAGTGACGGTTATTATGCCCCATTTACATTTTACAAGGTGAATAGAGGCAATATAAGTTTCTACCTTGACCATTTCTGTTCTAAATGCAGCAATGTTCTGGGGGCAAAAGCTGTATTCACAATGATGATTCTTGTACTTGCAGAGTTGAGCTATGCCTGGATCTTCAATGAATACCCTTCCTACCAGGATAACCGCCGCTTCGTTTCTCAAGAGACTGGAAATCTGTATATTGCCAAAGTAGAAAAATCCGATGTTGGGAATTATACCTGTGTAGTTACCAATACTGTGACGAACCACAAGGTCCTGGGGCCGCCCACACCACTAATCCTGAGAAACGATGGTGAGTAAGCAAACAATATTGTCAGTCCTATTTATGAGGATCATAGGTCGGGCATGCAAAGATACTTTATTACTGTCCCATAAGGCTTTTAACAACAGTTTAGTGCTTTCTGTATTTGTTTCCCATTATTTTTTCCACTTGTCTAAGAAATAAGCCCACAAACCCATTTTGGAAAATGAATTCGAAATCTGATTGCTAGTCTCAAAAGGGATGGGGTGTGGACTTGGGTGAATATAAATAACAACAAATCTTAAATAGTATGTGTACTCAGGCAAAAAAAAAAAAAAAAAAAAAAGGTGAAGGGTTGAATGAACAATTAGCTCATTAGTCAACTCTGTATAATTTGGTATTCAGGGTCCAGAAAGTGTTTTTAAATTATCTAAATATCTAGATTTACAATAATTAAGGCATAGCTTCTACCACAGAGAGTCATTAAAAAATGGATAGCTCATTTGAGACAAAAGTTTTAAATCCTCACCCTATCATGAGAATATTTTAAGAAAATATATGAATCTGAGGTAAATGTTTGGACAGCATAGGCTATGTCACCATGTGCTTTTAGAAGACATTCTAGTTAGCCAATGTGTATGGTATCTTGACTCTTTCTGCTACTGGCTTTTATATATGTAATTTCCTTCTCCTAAAATCTTCTCTTAGTCCAAAATTCTGACTTAGTAGGTGATATGCATTGTTTCTTTTCGTTTCTTTAGAAATATCACATTTTTTTTTCCCCAGAAAGCCATCTCTCCACGTCTGCGATTCCCACCTGTGTTGTATCAGGCAACTTTTTATTAAACTCTAATAAAATCATTATTGTACACCCCACGACCACCACACACACACACTCACACATGAACAGGAGCCTCATCCTGCTGCACTTACCAGTGAGTGTCATTTAAATTACATGTAATAATCTCTTGCTCATTGCTGTCTGCCGTAGAAGGCAGCAAATAGAAATGTCCCATTATATATTCATTGGGAGAATAAAAACAAAATGTAATTAAGCCCTCTAGGAAGGACCTATGTGAAGATTCAATGATTTGTAATTGACAGGATTAGGTTTCTATTCAAAAACAACAACAACAAAACAAAACAAAACAAAACAAAAAAACTTCTCACATTAGAACTAGAATAAAAGATTTTATCATACAGGTAAAGAAACGATCAGTCAGGATACTCATAACAACAATTATTGGTCACTTATTATGTTCTAAGTTGCACATTTATCCCATTAAAAACTTAAGGAGTATCCTCTTTCATAGTTGAGTAAATTGGAACTCAGTTGTGTTAAATAAGGAGTCCAAAAGCCACATAAGATTCTGAAACAGCCCTCTGTCTACTTAGTCGAGAGCCCTATATTTTTAACGTTTGCCCTCTTTCTTCTCATCACCCTACAGAAGCTCTTACATGAAGTCATATGAGAAAAAAAAAAAGCCTTTTATTTCCCAAATGTATTACTCTGTCCGCCTGTTTTCTGGCAATGCTAGAGACTGAATGCAGGCCCTTCCTTGCACATGCTAGGCTAGGGTTCTGCCACTAAGCCATACAAACACCCAGCTTGCTCATCTCTCTAGATTACTAGTGAACCTTGTGCCCAAGCGGGTTTGAACTTGAAATTTTCATGCCAGGGTGTTAACAGTCAAATTATCTGTAGACGTGTTCTAAGCATCCCTACAATACAGACCACACTGGAAATTTCTAACGAATGATTTAGTTTCCAGGCGTTTTTGTCTACTCATACATTTGGCACGTATTTATTTGGCCCTTGCTATGTGACAGCCGTGTCTCTGTGTTCCAGTAAGTAGAACAAGCCCCTACTTGATGCTTCTTATATTCTTCTGGGCAGGATGACAACAATAGGTGGAGGTTGGGTTGGGGGTGCAAATTTCAGGTTTTTTTGTTTTTTGTTTTTTTTTTTTTAGTATAATACACAAAACAATACATAAAATACAACATAAAAATCATGATAAAATAGAAGTTTGTGGGGTGGGTGTATAATGGCATGGGGTTATTGTTGAAATGATAAGAAGTCAATCCTGAGATGTTTAAGAAGAGGAATAGTTCAGGCTGAGCTGAGTTACAGAGGAAATACCAAGAAACACATATCTTCTAGGACTAAGTAGAATGTTACTATGGATGGAACCTAGTAATCAGAACAGAGAGTGGTTTGGAGTTTAAGGATCACATGCCCATCATGGAGACCAGAGAGAGAAGACTGACTTCTTTTTCTAGAGCAATGGTTCTCAACCTTCCTAATGATCTGACCTTTTAACACAATTTCTCATATTGCGGTGACCCCAACTATAAAATTATTTTTGTTGTTACTTCATAGCTGTAATTTTGGTACTGTTGTGAATAGTGCTGTAAATATCCGATTGCAGGATATCCACTATGCAGCCAGCCCCTGTGGAGCTCACATACCACAGGTTAAGAACCACTTTTCTAAAGCTATGAGAAGCCCTTGGGGATTTGTATGCCTGAGATGTTTTTTAGAAAGATTAAGTGGCTGCTTTCCAGAAAAACAGACAAACAAACAAAAAATCCAGAAAGTAGGCTCAGAAAATGCATATCTGGTCAGAAGACTTCTGTGAAAATTCACTTCAGGGATGGTGGTAACCTGGGCTATGGAGAATGGATGAACATGACAGATGAGTATCTGAGCTATACGTAGCAGGTAAAAATGTCAGAATTTAAAATGCACAGGATATGACAGGGGACAGGTGAGAAATGAAGAATGAAACATACCTTTCTTGCTTAGCAAATGAGAGTATATAAGAAACCTACGTGTTGAAATAACTGAAATAGCTTAGCAAAAAGATTTACAAATAAAAATTTGAGGGTACTATTTCACATACTATCCACAAACCCGTACACATGACCTTTTCCTTGGCAGCAGAAAGAATTACCTCTTTTCTAGTGTTTCAGTCAATCCTCTGTCATAACATTCATCTATTCTATGTGTATTTGCTACTGACTTTCCATCTTTACTCAAGAAAATACTTGCTAACCTTCATCAGACTCTATGCTGAACACTAGCATCCTGGCTGTAACACAACAAAGTTAAGTTACTAGGGTAGATTCTTGTTAAATTATCATGGTACATTGTATTCACAAAACCAAGTAGTCAACAGTTGAAAAAGTAGACAAGGTAGACTGGTGATGTAGCTCAGGCCCAGTTGGTACAATTCCTGCCTAGTATGCACAGAGCTCTAGGTTCAATTCCTAGTACTGCATGAACCTGGGCTTCGTGGCATGTGCCTGAAATCCCAACACTTGGGAAGTGGAGGCAGAAAGATCAGATGTACATGATCATCCTCAGCTATTTAGTGAGTGTAAAGGCAGCTCGGGCTACGTGAGACCCAGTTTAAAAAAATAATGTCAGGCAATGTACCAGCCTGTCAAAAGGCACAAATGCTACCTTTCTGGAAACAAACACGAAAAGATTTGCTTCAGTGGCATTTTATATAAGATCATTTTAAAACACAGCCCCTTCGGGGGTCCCTAAACAAAATGTATGTATGCCAAAATATCTAACCAAGGGGATTACCTGCCTTGGTGTGTCAAGTCATGGATGTAATGAAATATTGACTTGGATACAGCAAGATACAGCTGAAGACAAACATCACAGCAACCTGGTGCCTTTGGAAGTAAGAGGCAAAATCAGGAACACAGGAAGTGCGGTATCATCACATATACCTCCAGCTGGCAGCACCTTTGCCTTTTGCTTGGTTTTTAGATTTATTTCTGAAATTTATTGTCTACTCCATCTCCATAGAAATGACCAATGCTTTGTATTAGAATATTTTGTCACAGAATTAACAGGCTAAACACCTCATTCTTCAGCAATTAATGCCCATTCATTCTTAATTTGCATGAGAGTTGCATGGCAAAAATTTATAATATCTTTCTCATTTAGACTGGAGTACATAAAATGGATATGAAGTTCAATTACTAAGCACAAAAACAGGTTATTTAATTAGCTCCTGTCTGAAGGTGAGAGAAGACGGGAGATATAAATCAAAAGGAGATTGCAAAATTAAGATGACATCCTTAATAAAATCCATTCTGTGAGAGTAAAAGTCTATGAAATTATCACTCTACCAGAGCTGGTATTTAGTGACTATGTTAGGCTGATTTATGCAAGGAGTGTAGAATTGGTACAGTCATTTTGATCACTGAAGCACACTCAAAATTTCACACCCTTCTTCTGACTCAGAAATATAACAAGTAAGGCAGAGGAAGTTCAAGCTCGAACTAAACTAATTGCCACAACTGGTGCTTTGCATTGCTGTGAACAGATGTAGCTTAAATGACTAGATTTCCCCACGATTCAAGTCATGGCTTTTGAGTTCCAGGAAGGAAATTCTAGACTCACTGTTTCCCGTCCAAAAGGCCACCAGAGAGTCATAAAAAGTGAACAGTGAATCTTGGCTCAGGTGTTGACAGGCATCAAGTGAGAAGTCCCACAACCGTCTCATTGCATTTACCTGGTGTTCCTAGCTCATCATCATGCAGGCCTTTTGCATGGCCTCTTTCTTTAATCCTGTCCTTTACAGAATGCATTCCTCTTGCTTCCTTCAACCTTACTCAGTTTTTGGCAAGGAAGTAAGCCAGAAAAAATGGAGGAGAAAGCTCTTTGGGGAGAATTAAGACTCACCAGTAACTGTCTATTTCACAGGAAATTTCAGTTTAAACTCACTGGCTTTTGTTTCCTCATCAGTAAAATTAGCATAACAGTATTTACCTCTGAGAGATACTTTGTATACTAAAAATACATCAATAATGTTCCTAAAATATGCTTATAATTTTTTTAAGATTACAATAATAAACAGAAAAGACTTGTTTGTACAGTATAGGTGGAATTATATTTTTCGAAATGCTAATTAACAAGGTTAAACTTCAGGTATTTATCTCTGGGTATAACACTTTGAATTTTGGGTCTGGAGAGAGATAGCTCACTGGTAAAGACTGCATATTGCTCTTTCAGAGGACCCGTATTT